GCACCAGCAGTGAGTCTTTGTAAATATGAGTCTCCAGGATTGAAACCCATCCAATAAAGTACACTGTGGTCTGCAATCATGAATCAACACGGATCTTCACTGCAGCCCTAATCCAGTGAAAACAAATTGGCAAGCAGTGAAGTTCTGTAGAAAGATGAAGCAGGCTGGGGCAGAATGAGGCTGTTATTAGGTTTCTAGGAATGCATCAGGATTTGACTTAGAACAGAGTCAGCAGCACAACAAAGGAATTTTCCTTCCCTTCCCTGGCAGGAAAGCTCCTCTGATACTCTTGAAATACTTCTACAACCACTTGAGCCAGTGCAGAGATTAGAGTGCAGATAGGAGACAATTTGTCCTCTGACTTCTGCTCTTTTTTTCCTTGCATCTCTCCAGCTGTGGATCATGCCCACATTTGGGGCTCACCCCGTCTTTGAGAATGGACTGGAAAAGACATTTTACGGCTACTCCACCTGGTTTGCCATCGTGAACTTTGGCCTCCCGCTGGCTGTGTTCTACCGAATGCACTCTGTTGGGGGACTCCTGGAGGTCTACATCACCGCCTGAACCAAGCTGACTCCCCACCCCAGAGGTTGGGGTGAAACAACGATGGTGAACAAAAATGCAGTAAGCAGTGCCTATGCACATGGAAGCTTTTAAGCTTTTTCGCTTTGGCTTTGACTTCTTGCACAACATCTCCATGAGTTTCAGAAGAAAAGGAGGTCGGTTTATATTATTATTTTTTCTTCATAAAGAACAGACTCAAAGCCCATAAATAAACTGTCTTACTGCTCTAAGGAAGCACGCTGGTACTTTTCAGCAGTCTGCCAGCAGTTGACCTATGGTAGCAAGGGGGATTTACCAGCTCCTACTGAAATTTTCCTGATAAAAGAATGCAAGAGCAGCCTTCAACAAAAGCAACAAAGACTGACCTACACTCCATAGAACTTTGAAAATGCAGTCAAGGACCACCAGCCCTACCACTGCTCACCAATGCTGGCATCCTGCCGTACAGAAGAGACCTATCAGCACCAGGCACACTAGAAGAGCATACAGAGTTATTCAGAAACCAACCCAACCTACGCTTTTCGTGTCATTTTCAAAAAGATGCTGGTAGCTGCTTTAATGGTCATAACAGGGAGTATTTCTGTCAGTTCCTAGTCCTGGCACACCAACTTGTACGAGTCCCATAATAGCCAGCCCCTCTGAAGTGCCAAGTGCTTGTTGACAAGCTCAGTACTGAAGAGCAGGACAGTCCTTCAGGCCTGCACTGGTTCAGTGTGCGTTTTCCAGTTATCAAAACCAGAAGCTATTGCATCCCCTTGCCTTACTGAGAATAAACACTATTTCTCCTTACAGGCAACTCAGAGCCTCAAGTGAGAAGTGCTATGGCTGATCTTTACCTGATGCTACTCATGCATGACATTACCACCAGTGTGTACTAGCAAAGGTTCACCCTTGCACGCAGAGCTAGTTCAAGACAGAGCTATTTCCAGAATCTACTGTGGCCCCTCCCTACCCCAGCACTTAGATCCTCATTGTTGCTTTGCACATCCACAAACATTTCTTAAGGCATACGGCATGTAAGGGAACACGGCTGCAAAGCGTGGTGCCTGCTCAAAGACCCGTTAGAACTCGTTCCATAGGAGATGCCTGCTTTGAAAGCACGTGGGACAGCAAGGGGGCTTGCACCTGTGGTTCCCAAATACAGAGCCTGATGAATGGAAATAAAGAGATTGACTTTTCATGTGTATCCTGTGAAATCTCTGGGTCTGCTCCGCACTCAAAGACCAGACTCAAAGTTAACTGACATTGATTACCACCACTCTTGTGTTTAGAGGTTATATGGGATTTAAGGGCAGGCCTTGCTTTAGAACCAATTTTGTTTTGCTATCAAAATCCTTCATAACTCTTAACCAAGGCCAAAGTAGTATGGTACAAAAGGCAACTACATTATTGCTTCTGCTTCGCTATGAATCAGTCCTAGAAGCAGTGTGGGTTTGGGATCAGAGCTTATTTATGGGTTTTCATTCTGTAATCCCCTAGAAAAGCAAACTCCCCCAAGACAGCAATGGTGATGAGAGCTGGAAACTCCTGATCACACACATCCCACTCTCCTTAGGATCCAGCATTCAGGCAATGATAGCACCTTCCTGTGAAACTAAAAGTGAGAATGACTGCACAAGCATGAACTCTGCCCGGTGTTTTTACTTAGGCCTGTGCCAATGAAAATATGTCATGAGAAAGAACAGCTGGATAAATTAGGCTCCAATAAAGTTAATTATTATTCTCATTTCACAGTTTGTACTACGGAATCTACAGGGGATACATGCCAAGGTCTGGCCCTTTCAAATGATGAAGGGGACCTCAAACCTTCTTCCTAGTTACTGACAGCCTGGGGATAAGCAATTATGTACTTCATGGGTAAAGCCATGACCTGGATTGTAAATGTGGTGTAACAGATAAAACACCGTTGAAGTTACTGAGCCTGCATTGAGCAGGTGACTTTGGAGGTCCTCCACTGAGTTGTAACTACTAAGTCCTGTACCTACTACACACAAGTATGGACTGAAAAAGAAGTTGGCTTGCGATTTCTCGCTGGTAAACAGGATGGCCTCGCCGAATACATGACCAGCATGGGCAGGAATTAATCCCACCAGCTCCAACTCTTACACACAGCCACCATAGATCAGACAAGTGGTTACAGGCCCTCTATGTTCTTTCTTAACAACACTCAGATGTAACACTGCAGATGAAGGTAACAAATCCCCCAACGGGCAACAGTAAAAGAACTCTTCCAGACCAGAGAGAAATGTGGGGCCCAAGGTTTCAGCCCTTTCACTTAGGACAGCTTTAGTTCTACAGGACTCAAGCTCTGGGCTGCTTTGTGTCTACCTGCAGGAGGGGTAAAACCATGAATATACAGTTTGCATGCAATTAAAACTCCCTTCAGCTCCTTCACAAGGCTGACAGGAGGGCTGGGCATGGTAATCTGAAAGCCTAGTGAGAAGTGAGGTAGCTGTGACTCCTGAATCCAACACAGCCACGACATGTCAGTGGCCCACCTGCTCCTTCATCAGCTGCCATCTGCTCCACCATCCTTTGTCATCTGCCATCCATTAATGACTTCCAGAGCAATCCCAGGGCCAGGGTGATTATTTTATGGGTCTCAACTGCACAAAGGTTTTAGTACACAGTTCACAAAGTCAGGAGACTTGACCCTGTTTGGTCTAGTTCCTTTTCTGTAAACTTTGAGGCAGTTACCTTTGATGATGTCTCATGCTGTAAGCACAAAAATGCTTAAACCCACATAATTCAGGCTCATTTTCCAGAGTCCAATCTTCATTTCTGATTACAAAGAAAAAAAGAATCCACACACTGCAGGGGGAAGCCAGCACACCATCTCCTGGTACCACAAATCATTCCAGAATAAGACAAACAAGATTACAAACATTTCTATGGGAAAAAATTAACAACCAAGAGCATGTTTCAGATAATCTTTATCCTTCTCTCTGTAAGTAAGCAAATAGTTTACAGTGCAAGTTGATTTTCACAGAACAAGGATCAGACTCCAAACACCAAGAAACAAACAAAAAGGATTCCAGAGGAACTCACAAAGAAACAAAGCAGAAAAGAGGATGGAAGAGATCATGAGAACCAGCAGATCCATGGGAGGGAAGAGGCAAGTGTGTGGGACACAGCATGCCCCATTCCAGCTGTGAGGTGCAAGTGCCATACAATCAGAGGCTGGCCCCACCAAATCACATTCTTATACACGAGAGAGATTCCAAGTAAAACAGAGACCTCACCCTGTTGATGTCTGAACAGAGATGGGGTCAGGATGGGAGTAGTGCTAGATGGCAAAGTGGGTTGGAGATGGGGGGCAGGTGGGGGTATAACCTCTCTCTATTTTGCGTATTTCTTATCTTTCAGAAGTCCATTCAGCCTTTACTTCAGCTTTCAACCTGCCTGGGACTTCGGTCCCCTTTCAGTGCCCAAGGGAGGAAAACACCTGACTACAAGGCAGCAGTAGCCAGCAGTACACAAGAGCAGCGCTCTCTAGGAGAGCATGGTCATGTTGCTATCACTCAGACATCAAAACTTAGGCAAGGGTTACAAGACACAGAAGTGTGTGCCATAAATGGCCCCTTACTTAAATTTCCGAGACCAGTTTCCATGGAGTGATCTCACTGGTTCTAAATCATGGCAAACAGCTCATGGCCAGTGATCCTCCTGAGAGCCTGAATACCAGAGCACCAAGGACTAAGCTTTGGTGGAGAGGGAAAGGTCTTGGTTCATGACATAACCCCTCACATTTCATTATCTAAAGACCATGCAGGTCTCTGACAGCAGCACCTCCCAGCAGAACATAACATCTGACTCAAACCCCAGGATGTCTCCATCTACCAATGCACAACCCCATGCAGCTGAACCAAGCCAGCAACAGTGGGTCTCCCACCAGTTCTCATTCTGGCTTCCTAAACTTCACATGCTTGGGACCCAATACATTCAAGATCTGATAGCTTGGTCATTAGCAAAATGCCCTGAAGAACTGAACTTTGCCTCAGCACTCTCCATTCTCTTGTGACATGGAGATGCTTTTCCTCCTCCAACTTCCAAATTGCTCCTACAACTTCCCTGAGTGCCTCCCTCAATCCCCTGCCTTAGACAGTAGTGTGCAAAAGACCATTCCACTCTCTGCATTGCATCAGCCTGCCAGGCAAAGATGGAAGGATATGGTTCCTTTCAAACCCAGATGACACTGACCTTTCAGTCAATGGGAAAAGACTAAAAGAGTTTAACAGTCACATCTCTTCTTGCTCTTGCTGAGCCAGTCCCTTCCTCCCTGTGTGCTCACATGGATTAAAGCAGGGTTTTCCCAAGTGACACATGCTCCCTTGCAACAGCCCCCCATGAAGGGCAGGCCGCTGCTGCGTCTGGAAGCCAAGGAAAAGCTTCTCTCACCACACCAAAGCACCAGCTACTACAAACTTAAGCAGCTATCCAGGAAAGGAGTAGAGAGATTCAGAACTGAGACACAAAAGTTTTCCTTCCGCAACTTCTACTTTCATTTGTATGGGAAAGACTTCCTTACCAAAACACAACTGAGACACCAGGGAGACGTCTGCAGCCAGAAGGGATGCCCTGGAAACTTCATGAAGCCACGTGAAAGCAACTGCAGTTTCCAAACCCCATCTCCTGCAGAAATAGCAGCTTCTCCCTTGCACCAAATTTACAGCTAGTCTTTCTCAATTAAATGCTGACTCTGACCAGGGCAAGGACAGGATCAGATTGGTTTCCAAACCAGATCCAGGAGCAAAAGAGTAACAGAAGAGCTAAGAACAGTTTGATTTCTAGTGCAACCACAACAATGGACAATCCCTTAGACATCTTTCACTCAAGGCTCAGGGTGAAGGGTGAGGGAAGAGAAGTGAGCTGGGGGGAGGGCTGTCTAAGCAGGTCCCAATTAAAGCTTTAAATGGCAGGGAGGTAAATGAAGTGATTGTCCTTTTGGTCTCTCAGCTGGATGTGAAATGAAGGATTAGCTGTGACAAAGCAGCACACAGCAGTCCTTAGATCCAGTGTATTTCTCTTAGTAGAGGTAAGTGCTCTCTTAGACCCGTTGAATTTCAAACAGCTTCACATCCGTGTCATACCAGATAGGGGGATCCACATTCCTGAGAGAGAAAGACAAGAGCCACTTTACCCTCTGTGACCACGTACATGGAATTCAAATCTCACAGCCAAGAATACAGGAGCTGGCAACACAGAATGCCTATTACTTGCTGCTACCAGTTCCCAAACAAGCAGTAACCCTAGAACAACTCCCTTCATGTTGCCCACTCAAATGAAGTTTTGGAGCCACTGATTCACCCTAGTTTCTTCCAAGGGAGCATAATATTTTTATGTTGTAAATATGAGACAATCCAGAGCCAGCCAAGCGCATGCAATTCTCTCCACAGGCCTCCCAACAGTTTGGAAAAGACCAAGTTAGACTGCACCCAGCTGGCTCACCTCAAATAAATAACTCCCCACATGTAGGTCCGGAACCACATGGCAGTACCCGAGTTAGCCTGGTACTTGCGGATGAGGATGGGGTGAGGTACAGGGAGCAGTCCCACCAGTGTGCCATGCTGCAAGAACTTGAGGATCTCTGATTCATCAGTGAGACCCCTGCAAAGAGAGATCAGGAACATTCTTAGCATGTCCCATAGACACTCCCAAAACTGCTGCAGCATGATGTATCAATCAAAGCAAACACAGACACAGAGCCAACAACTGCAGCCACCAAGAACACAAAATTTCCCCACTGAAAAAGAAAACTTGAGAAGGGATCAAACATGCTTCCAACTATACTTTACAAGGTTTCCCTTAAAGGCCCTCCAAATTCATCAAACTCTGCCAATCTCACGGAGCTCTCTACACACTGCACAGCCCCTTCTCTCCAAAAACGTACTTACTTGTCAATGCAGATCTTCTCCACCTGAGGGACCAGCACCTGTAAGAGCCGCATGATTGTCTGCAGGGGAAGCTTTGACTTCCAAGACATCACCTGTAAGTAGGAAAGCCCACAGGCAAATCAGTGCATGACATTAGTAGTTTTCCTACAATTATCTCCACTATCTCTATCACAAATGAGGTTTACAAAAATCACAAAGGTGGTGGACGAACTGAGTGCACAACAATACAATAAATCCTGGAGCACTAGAATTATGAGCCACTTGACAAAACCAGCAGGGCATTGGTGTAAAACAGGTAAAACAAAATACTTCTTCGCAGATGGTAGTAAACTCTGGAGCTTTGACCAAAAGTCAAAGACATTCCCCATGAGGAAATGCACCTCTCAGGGAATCTCTGCTGGTGGGGGAAGTGGGTACATCTGTGGCACTTCTGTCACAGTTAATTTCCTTATTATTTAATTCCTCTGTCCAGATTCCCTTACCCAGTCAGGAGTTGGGGTCCACTGTCCACTGGAGGATGCACTAGAGAGACGCCTTCGATCCCGTCGGGGATGTGATGCCTCCTATCAATAAATATTATTTTTTAAAAACAACAAAAACCAACCAACAGCAAATCACATTTAACAGCAAGACATACAACCCATTTTCTACTGACTTTTTTTGGAGCTTTTCCAGAGCACTGCTGGGAAAGACAGCTCAGCCTGGCCCTAGAACAGAGCAAACCCACCAAACCTTCATTCACCAAAACAATATGCTTTGATTCAGTGAGTGGCAATATTTGATGGGGTTAAGTTGCAGGACCACCCCTCTGTGGCAAGGTCACAACTCCAGTCACCACTGCTCGCACTCCGCTGGAATAAGCCACAGTTTCATGGGCTGCTGGAAGAAGAAAACCTTCCTTCTGCAAGTTCTCAGCTAGGATCTCACTTAATGACAACATAACTAATTGTGTGCTTAAGACATCTTGCTGACCATGGGCCTTCATCTGGTACCAGGGAAAGCCAGGAAGGATAAGTAAAACTGGTCCTGGCATATTCAGGAAATCTGTTCATTCCAGTTTGTTCAAAGCCTAAACAGCAATATTATTTTGCAATGTTAGCAGCTACCACCTTATTGTTCAGCCTGTTCAGCTTCAGTGCTGTGTCCTCATCAAGCTTCTAAAAATAGAGTTCATAAAAACATAAAAACCCCTGACTTCCTTCAGATGATCCCACTCTCTTCCTCTTTCCTCCTCACTTTCCCACAGCCCTTGCCCCCTCACAGCTGCCATACAAACGCTGGCAGACAGCTGACACATTTAGGAGAGGTAAGATGGAATTACACTGAAATATGAAGGCTCTTGAACATTTCATAAGACACATTGAAATGAATGACTGATAAGGGGAGAACATTATAATACATAGAAGAAATAAACTGAATCAGTCAGAAAGGCGGGTATCAGGAGGGTAACAGAGCACTGGAACAGGCTGCCCAGAGAGGTTGTAGAGTCTCCTCTGGAGACATTCAAAACCCGCCTGGACGCCTTCCTATGTGACCTCATCTAGGTGTTCCTGCTCCGGCAGGGTGATTGGACTGGATGAGCTTTTGAGGTCCCTTCCAATTCCTAACGTTCTGTGATTCTGTGATCCTAAAATTTATCCAGTACTTCTTATTAATTTATCTTATCTCAGTAAGTTGGAACCAGGTTAGAGCACAGAAAGAAGACAATGTTCAAATAGTCTGAAACACCACAGTCCCTGGAGACAGGTGTGTGCTACCTGAAGCGCCATGCGATAGCAGCGATGATTCTCCCCACAGCACATCGCACACCCTCTGCTTTACTGCCCTTCATGTCCTGTCTGCTTTTTGGCCCCCACCCCACAAACATTCAGACATGCAAATAGCAGGTCTGGAGCCAGGTGGGGCAGCTAATGGGCAGCTGTCTGTCTGAGACCAAAGCCCCACATGAGCACACACAAGCAGAACAAGCAGAGAGAATCAGGACATAAGGGTAGAAGATAGGAGTCTTCAGCCTGCTCCGCTAGATTGCAATGCCTTTGCAAACATCCCCCATTTGGACCTCAATTCTGCACTGTCTCAGTCAAAAGCATGTCAAGAGCAAAACAGACTGAAAGATTCTTGTAGCACCACCGCAGACCATGGCGGCCCATGATAAAATGTACCATCCCATCCCAACTCATCAACTCCTGCCTCTCACACCTGTGAGAGTTGGTGTGTCAGTATGGCCTTTCCAGGGAAATCTAAGAGAGGAAAAGCTGGGAAAGTTATGTCTTTCACCATGGGGCAGCCATGCCTTCCTGTGCAAATGGATGCAATGCAGACAGTAAATGCTCAGGCAGTGTGTGGCAGCACTAGGTGTATGAATGTGGCCTTGCTGAAAGAGAAGAGGATGTGCAGGACAGCCTCCTGTAACACTTTCTTCAAGACAGCCTGGAGGTTTTTGATACTAGACAGGAAAGGACATGGACTGAGAAGTTAACAGAGAGCAAAGAAAGACTACTGCTCCACTGAATTTGGAAGATAACCAGTTTATAGCTCTTGATGGGGAAACCCAGCAAATGCCAGTAGTCTCACAGAGCCACCAGGGCCTAGGAGGCCAGTGCAGCCTGGATTCACAAACCACAAAATCTCCATCTTGTCTACATGGCCAAGCAGTCAGCACTCTGAGGGCAGCATCTCAGTCAGTCCCTCATGGGCACACATTGTTCACAACACCAGCGAGCCAGAACATCCTGGTAGAGTTCTCCATCCCAGAAAGAAGGGAGAGTAAAAAGCAGCTGCAGTCAGAACCTGAGCTGAAAGCCTCTAGATCAGGAATACATCCCACTGCAATTACACACCTGCTGCTCTATCAGTAGCTTTCAAGGTGGAGAAAGCTCACTCCTCTAGTGTCCTAGCTCTTGTGTCACTAGCACAAACATGAAACACCCAAGATGATGCAACCATACTTCTGAACCACGGTGTTTCCCAGCACAGTGTGCGTGTGCATAATGCTTCTAATACGATGCCTTTCTCCAGTGGGCCAATCAGACCTTTTCTTTTAAGTCCCCCAGTTTAGTTCATTTCACACCCTAGATCTTCCCTACACACCAGCATGTCTGGCCTTACTCCACTCCAGGGGTCCCCATCACTCACAGCCGAGGGCTGGTTACCCTCTGGTGAAGGCTGTGAGGATTCGGGCTCCAGTGAACGCATGGTCCCATCCTCCGAAACCTGTGACTTCTCCGTGAGCTTGTCAATTCCTGTGTTCAAAAGAGGAAAAGCTCAGAAACACAAGTGAATTAAATACACTTAAAAGTGGGAGGGTTCTTCTCTGCCATACACAGACACCCTATGCATCTGCTGGCATCTGAAACACTCCACTTTCACCAAAAGAAGCAAGATCTAGCCTTGATCTCATGAACCCAAAGAAGTTCATTTGTATCTAGGGAAATGCTCCCTGATGCAGGAGGAACACAGGTTCACATAGATACAGTTAAACTGAGGCAAGAGGTCAAGATTAGGACAAAAGGCCACGTGGACACTAAGTCTGAGAGGAGAGAAACTCACAGCAGTTTACTTTGACTTGTTTGTGATCAGCTTGGGCAAACTGACCTGAAACTGAGACTGACAGGCAGTAAGTTATTCACAGATGTAAACTCTTAATCTCTCCCACGCCCAGTGAAAGGGTGAGTCCACACCATATCTCACAGAGAAAACAAACCTCTCTCCTGTTACAAAGGTAAACTGACCTGGAGTAGCAACCAAACTTGTCTTGAGCGTCCCTGGTCCAGCAGGGGCAGCAGGACGTGACCCTTCCATGGAGACCCCATCCTGGGAGTTGGTGCGAGAAATAGGCTCAGGGGTTTTCTTCTTGCGCTGCAGACCTTTCTGGATGGACTGTGAGTCTGTGGGCAAGTTGGCCAGCTGGTGAAACACATTCCGTTTGCGGATAACGGCATAGACCAAATTTGAGTTCCCTGGGAATCACAGCAACAAAATGAATGAGAAGAAAGACTTCAAGAGCTCTGCCAACACAGAACAGTTTGTGAAGCATGATTGCTGAGACTCTGCAAGCCCAGAGAACCACGCTTCCACCCACCCACAGCACCAGGAAGAGTGAGCATAGTTCAGTATCCTCTAATCCATTACAAAGCAGTACAGGAAATTCATTGAAATCCTTCCTAGGCTGAAAGGCTCACAAGAAATGACTTAGAGGCTTACATTCAAACAATTGAGAAGAAAATGGACAGTTTAAACCACATACTAGCACTTATTTTAGAGGAAAAGGTTGTTAGCCACAATTCAACATTTCTCCACCTTCAAAAAAGCTCAGAAAACACATCGGGGGGCATTCCATTTGAGGAGAAACAGGCTTGAAACAGGAAAGGCAAAAGGCCAGAATTCTAACTGTGTGCAAGGTGGCAGAGAACAGAATGAAACCATTCCCTAAAATAAAACACAAGTCACAGCCAGAAAGGCTGATTTAGGATCTGGCAACAACCACTTGTTAGATTTCCATTAGGGAAGCAGAATGGCCACTCTTGGTTTGCAGTTTCAAAGCAAAACATCAAATTTTGAGCAGGAAGAAACAGGAGTTCCCAATAGGTTAAGGGACCTCACCTACTATTTCCTTGAGGTAAAAGGCTATCATGCTTTTAAGATGGAAAGGTAGCAAGTACTAGAGCTTTGTCTGGATGGGGCTGTTTGGTCTTCAGTTCCAGTGATCTGCCAGAGTAGAACTGAGAGGCGCTTTTAAACATTTAAGGAGATGCAAGTTGTTTTGCCTACTCACCTACGTTACTGAGCAACATCAACATCACAACAGCATCCAGCCAGTCACAACTTAAGCATTACACATTCACTTTCCCTTCTCCCCTACCCATCTCATCTTCAGGTCTGCAAGAGGCTGAGGTTATGCTGATCATTAAGCTGTCATCTCAGTTTGCTCTAACCTGTCTGGGTCAGGAGCTAACACTGATTACCTAACTAAACCAACTTCACAATCCGAGGCAAGTCTCCATGTAACTGGTTTCTACACTTCTCCCCTTCTCCCATCTGTTTGGACTTTCTCTGAGCTTCCATATTGTGTTCCTTTGTGCTAAACCAATGCAAATCCACTAACAACAACAGTCAGTCTCTTACCATCAAACTGGTACTGAATGATGTTGTTGAAAACTTCCAGCAAGAAGAAAACGAGATGATGGTTCTGGACAGCAGAGAACAGGAACCAGGTGGTGGAGAAAGCCTCCAGGAGATGCAGTAACTTGTTAGCAGCCACCATGGAGAGAGACTTCAGGTATGGAGACACTGTGGAAGACAAACAAATGAAAACTGGAGGAAGAACCAAGGTATATTTATTCACATAAATACAACACTAAAAATGTTGCTTTTACCACCTTCCCACCCTCAGGGAATAGCTGAGCCCAAGAGGGTTCCACAGAAACATTTCCAAATATGAAATAAGTGAAACAGAGATATTGCCTAGTAAAAGCAGACATTTCTGCTTTTAGACAGTCTTGTGTAGTTTCACACTACTAACAGTCTCTGGCGTGCTTCCTGAAAAGCTTACACAACTGGGGCCACCTGGGCACTCACTGAGCCCAAGAGAAGCCACTGCCACTGTGAGGAGGTGGCACTCCCTGCTGGAGAGGGACAGCACTGCCACTGCCCTCACCAGGCCCCCTGGCAAATGCACTTCTGCCACCCCGGAGGGGTTCCAGGGACTTTGCTGTCCAACCCTCTGCCCCATTCAACTGAGCCCAGGCCATAACCTTGCAGGCAGGTCTGATCTTCAGCTGGCACCTCCAGCACGAAGCAGAAAGGATCAGTTTCCAGCAGCAGTCACTGACACTGGTCAACGTTAAGGGGCACAGGCAGGCACACAGGAGAGGGGAGTGAGAGCAGCCAGAGCTGTCCCCTCTGTGGGCTGTGGTTTCACACCAGTGCTTACCGTTCACAACGATGGTGAGCAGGCAGTCAAAGAGAGGCTGCAGCCGCTGATGCCCGCTGGTTATGATCTTGTGAAAGACCTATGGCAAGGAAGGAGCTCTTGAGCAAGGTAGTACCTTACTGAAAGCACCCTCTCAACCAAAACCAGTGCCACCCCCACACTAGCTGCTTCCTGACACCATTCCTTCCTAGGCAGGTCCCTGCACACTCCACAATTACACAGGTGGGGAAGGCTGCTCTCACTGCAGACTTGTGCTCCAGGAGTACAAGCTTTCATTTACAAGAAATCCTTTGGGGACATGATTAGGGCTCTACAACACTGCAAACAGAAACTGACTAGGAGCTGTTCCAAAACACACAAGCAGAAGGCCAAAAATAAAACACCAGGAAGTAAGAAACACCTTCACCTCCAATGGATTTTGACTCTGAACCCTATGATAGCTGCTTAAAATGCCACAGAACTAAACATTTTGCATTTGATGTTAGTGCAAGCTTCTAACTAAAATATTTGTCCTGCTTTTCTTAACTATACACTCAGACACAAAGATTCAACTGCCTCCCAACTAGTTCAGAGACTTCCACTCTTGGCCTTCCCACCTCTAGCTGACATGCCTGTAGAGATGGCCTGCAGCATAATGAATATACAAAGATGAACTAAGATTAATAGAATGTAATAGCAAAACACATGGCATCAAGAACAGTTCTGGTGGGCACGTTTCTTCCTACCCCTTCTAATAGGAATCTCCTTTTGGAGGTTTATCAGAAGCTGCTGAGAGATTCTTTTCTGGTAAAGGGAGCACTAACACGACAGGAGAGTACCACCTGAGGCTGGTACTGCCAAACACACAGCGGTTTGTAGGCAGCATTGTGGCCCTCGGCACTACAGACTGAAAGATGAATGAGATCTTACAGCAACCCAAAGCTGTAGGGTTGAGCTTGGTACCACTGGTGTTCCCATTCTGATAGAAGTGCTCCACACAACTCCGGTTACTTGGGATAGAGCCAGCAATGCAGACAGATCTCCTGCCTTCCCCACTTGCAATGAAGTCTAGTAGAGACCGTGCACTCATCCCACTCATGTCAGTCCCACAGTCCTTTAGACACCAGTCCAGCACCATCCAGGATCCTGTTTTTTGGGATCATCTCATGCAGATGGAATTGCATCTCATGCATATGCACACTGCCAGACACACCACCTCAAATTAACAGTGTGCAAAGATCCCACCAGTGCCTGGATGCGCCCCACACACTTTCAAGCTACTCAGGGGGCTGGCAATCTAAGAAGGATTAATATATTGAAGGAGGAAGGAGGACAATTATTTGTGGAGGTATGAAACAAGAGTTAGGAGGGACAGAAAAGAAGTGCTAGAGCTATACTCACTATGATGAGCAGATCTGCATGTGTCCCTGTGAAGACAGGGATGTCCATAGGCACTCTTACAGAATACGGCTTGTTCAGTCGAACCCCAAAGTTACGCTCCCCACTGAGAAGCAGGAGGATAAAAACCCCAATGTGCATCAAGCCCACTCGCGCTGCAGAGAAAAAACACAAACACACATCACCACACATTACAGTGAAGCCACTGAACTCCTGAAGATAGAAGGGCAAAGACAGAGGAGAAACACTATGGGACTGAAAGAAAAACTGCACAGACCAGACCATCCTGATAAGGGACATCCCACACAGAGCTCCCTCTGCTGCCAGTACCAGTGTCCTTCCCAAGCTCATCTATGGGGCCAGTACAATGTTAAGTCTCGGAAGGATCATGTTTTTCTTCCTTATGTTCTTGATGTAAACGCATCACCATAGTAGGAAAAAACTGACTGCTGCTTTGCACTACCCAATGATGGAATTATGCCTAATTTACACCTAAGACAACAGCAGACTGCTCACTAATCTCCTCTTCATGGGATCAGGGACACCTGCTAAGAATCTCCCTTTCCTGTGTTGTGGTATAGATCATGTCCTGCTTCTAGTCTGTGACAAACATTAACACCCAGCTAACTGAACCACTCTATTCCAAGCTTGCAGAAGGCTAGGAGCATGCAGTCGAGATGCTATCACAGCTCAGTGGTAGGGTGGAAGCATCTTAAAAAGACTTTAGCTCAACTGTCAAGCACAAATCACCCCAAATATTGAAAATAACCAACTTACACTGGTCTGCTCTGGCATCATTGAGAAAATATAAGATTGGGACAAGGATATCCAGAACATCACTGCTCTTCAGCACAAAGAAGAGGAATTTCTAGAAGAAAGGGGAAGATTTCAAACATTCACAAGCATATTTGGTTTTCTGCACCATCTACAGGACTCAGACCAGGTAGCCTCAAGCAAATTAGTCTCTCAAGAACATCAGAAAGGCTGGTGTATGCACCAGCTCTTCAACTCCAGTGTTATTTGTAGAGTTATTACAACACCTGGCTCCTGCACCTACCTCAAGCACTGACCTTCAAGAGCTGCAGCCTCTCTCACAAGCTCTCCGGGGAGCCAGACCCCACCAACCCACCCAGCAGAGAGTAGTGCTGCTGACCAGAATACCACAGAGTCACTGCTGACCACCTTCCCACAGCTCTTCACCATGGCCTGGTCCAGCCAGAGCCACATCAGGCTCTGGGCAACAGGCAAGGTGTGGCAAAGATCAACAAGAAGCAGATCCACACCTTGTTGAAGTCACAGAGTTTCCAGAAGAGGACGAGGAGCTCCTGATGGAACTGGATCTTCTTGGCAGAGTTTGGCAGGTAGGTCTGGACCAGCGGGTTTGATAACAAGCGGGCCACTCCTTTCAGGATGAACTGGAAATCCTGCCAACAGACCAGGAAAGAGACTGTGGTGGGCCCAGGACTGATGCAATCAGCATGAAACCAGACAGGAAATAGTTCAAGACAGGAGCATCTTACCTCCTCTCGGTGTATTCTTGAGAGGTAATTCACAAACAGATTGTCTGGTCCAGGAGGCTGCGTTCAAAGAAAATGAGTGAAATGCTTACTGGCAGCAAGGTTTACTCAGGAAATCAAAGTGCAACCACTGGCTCTGGAAGCTAAGACCTCTCATTTCAGCTTTTCTCTCTGGGTGATCCAGTTTTAAATGCTAGGAGACAGAGCACCTCAGGGAACAATAAAGTCAGGGGCTTTTCACTTACTTACTGATTCAAGTCAGTGACCAAAACCTAGTGGTTTGGTCATCTACAGCTGTTTAGTGACCTACAGGAAAGAAGCAGGACTGGGCCAGAGAGAGCAGACTGTGAGGAGAGGAGTGGTGCTGGGGCCCTACAGGCCAGCATTCAGTACAAGCTGGGAGTCCAGGAGAGCAGCAAATACAGATCCCAGTGTCACTCACATCCACATCATCCATGGCCGTGCCAGTGGTTGTGCCATCCACGGTGGGACTTGAACTGGTGGAGCTGTCATAGTCCAAAGTGACAATCAGCACCTGGGCTGCCTCCTCCACCAAGGGCTCACGGTAGTCAGAGAAAAGCAGATGATTGTAAGGGATCCCATAACCCACCGGGTCGTAGGCACAGACGACATTCAGCAGCGAGGTGAAGAGCGGGAGCGCATGTCTGGGGAGGAGAAAATGTTCTCAGAAGGCAGAAACAGGAAGCAAAAAGTGCTGCCTTGGGGAGGGACAGGCATCTCTCTCCCCAAGAATCTGGGGTCATGACAAAACACTAGCATCTTCTCTAACTGTGACTGAGCAGCCCAGAGACAAGAGCTGAGACTCCAGCTCCCAGCTGGTCTCCTGGACTACAGCTGAGAGGGAAGGGGAGGTGAAAAAAGCCATGTGGCCTCCCAGAGGAATCCTGTGCAGCAACATGAAAAATAAGACAGGACCTCAAAGCTCTCTAGACTCTGGAAAGATAAAGCTGTCTGCCTTCAGCCAGGACTGTGCTGCCCCAGATGAGCAACTGTCACCTGGGGAGCTGCAAGTCTCAGCGGATATAGTGTCACCAGAGGGCAGTATTCACCCGCCACCATCACCACAAACCACCCACTGCAGTGCCCGGCCACCAACTCCACAAGAGAACAGGATCTACAGCAGGGAACAGGATCTGCCATTTCCTACAGGACAGGGACCAGTCCTGCAACAAAATCCAGTGAGCACCAAGCTTAGCCTCTCCTTTTGCTGCTGAGGAACAATTCTCACTAAGCAGAGATGCCAGCAGGGCATACATAAGACAGGGACAAAGAAAAAGGACAACAGCCCAGAGATGTTGGGAGTAGTAAGTCCTATGGTCTCCTATTACCAACACACTGCATGGAAGAGATTTGAAGGTATTTCTCCCCATCACCCAGTTCCCCCCCTCCCTTCACCTTCACCTGTTCTCTGTAGAGCAGAAGAACTGCACCCAGGGGTTGGCATTGCTGCTGTCGGAGGAGGGAGGCAGATACATGGCCTCAGAGAAACAGGTCAGCAGCAGCTTAAGCAGCTCTGTCCTGAAAGAAGAAAAGAAGAAGCCAAGGCCTGGAGCCCTTCAGGAGCAGGGACTGGGTGCAGGAGGCGCAATCACTTACCACAACACCACACAAGGAAGGCTCAGTCCCATCTAGAAAGTCCTCCCCACAGAGAGCTAAGCCCATTTCATTTCATAAGCAATACTGCTGTCACTGTTACTAAGCTCAGCTGTCTTATGAAACAGAAATACAGTAAGGAATTCCTAGGGATTTTCAAAGAAGGAATGTTTTCTAAGGAGCAACGTTTTGCCAGTTCCTGTTGCAGACCATCTGACCCACATATCACACTACAAAAAGCTATTCAAAAGGTCAGCTGTTTGTGTTTTGTTTTTTTTTCCTGTGTTGCCAGTCCTGTTAGCTCAGAAAGGAGCAAGTAGAAAGCCCCTTCAGAATCACAGATACCCGAGGAGGCAAGGACAGCCCATCTCCCTGTAATCCCCCTCTCTTGAATCCAGCTTCTTTTCATTCTGCCTTTGCAGACCCCCTCTTACCTATTCAAGTCATGGATGTAGTTAGGCTGTGGAGAATGAGCAAAGCCCACTCCTGCCTCCCAGATGTACTCACAGCTGTCAATGGAGTGGATATCTTCTGCTGTGTCCTATGGGGAGAAATAAGAGGTTGGACCACAGAAGCCAAGAGTAAGAGTTGACAGCACTAGTGGTATCCAAGGCAGTTCAGACACTCTCCTCATAATAAAAGTGGATATGGCTGTGACTTGCTTTTCAGAGGGTAAAGCAAGAAGGTGACTGCAAATACGTTATTTCTCCTAGTGAGAATCCTCCCAGTCCCCTGACAGCTGTTGGCATGGAGATGAACCACAGCAGTTTGCCCTTCTTTGTCATGGTCAGTCAGGTCACGGTTGAAGCAGCTTTGTGGAGACAAGCAACCATTGAACACGACTTGTCAACCCTCCAGGAATGACCAGGAGCAAAGGCCCAGATGAATACGTTTGCATCAAGTACACTTGGCACAGTTCAGCTGTCTTTTTTCTGGGGTTTAATTAAGCAAATTCTACCGCCTGCCTTTTTTCCTCCCTGCACTTGGGAAAAGCAAATCAGAAAACCATTTCTAATTGCTCTGGGTTCCCATTGCGTAACCTCCCTCTCTTCCACAAAGGCACTAATCTCAGGACAGCAGGGCTTGAGGGTAACCAAGACACACTTAGCACCCCAACCATGGTTCCCACAAAATCAGCATGTTGACAGCAGGTACTGCTGACACAGAAACAATTGCAGCTTCCTCCACAGTCCAGGATTTTCCTGCCTTGCTACTCACTTCCTACAGATAGGCTGGAGCTCACCTGCTGTCAGCTTTCTCACCAAGCTCCTCAGAACAACTCTTGCTGAGATTGGAGTGCACAAAACCTCCCTCCACAACCAAATCCTGAACATCTCCTCCCAGGCACAGGCTTCATGGTAAGAAATGCAATTATATCCACAAACCTGCTTCTACCATGTGTGACTGAGCAGGAATTCTAGAAGGAAACAGCACATTACTAGCCAACATTACAGCAGTTCCTCAGCCCTAGAAAAGCAGGTGCTGATGTCTTCAAAGAGCTCAGCTTTGCAAGTAAGTGATAAAACACAATGATGCGGGCACTTGCATGACAGAGGGATCCCCAGTTCCTAGCCATAATTCCAGGGCTGAGTTCAACAGGAAGGCAAACAGTAAAAGAGCATGGGTCACTGCCAGCTCTCATTTGCCCATTCTGTCCCAGTTCTCATTCCTCCCCTTTACTCAATTTTGCTTCAGCAACTCTCCACCACCACCTGTATCTCTCTGGGGCCATATGCTGTTCTGCCATGAGGTGGCTGTATCCATCTCTGCTCTTAACCTGCAGTCAGACCCAAGAGCACAGGTCAGACCAGATCCAGAGAGAAGAAAGCTAGGCAAAGACTACAGAGGCTGCAGGCAGCAGACAGGCAGCTAACAGGAACATAAAGCATTCACAACCTCACTGTCTAATTCAACTTGCCCAAAGCCGTGGAAACCCAGGCTGGCTGCTGCCAAAGGAGAAATCACAGGTGCAGCAGCAGGGGCCTCTCCCCAGGAAAAACTGCTGTCACCCTGACTTGTGCAATCCATCCCAAGTGACAGCACAAGACAACAAGTCCATCTGTTTCAGCCTCACTCTCTCTTACTCTTAGCACATGGGTAGCTCTGATCCAGCATCGCCCCTTCATCCCCAGGTGACAGATTTCAACTCTGTTTCTACTACCCAGAAACTCTGAGCATGCAATTTAGTACTCAGGTTTGTCAGGGAATTTTGCAGCCATGACATACACAATGGTTTAGCATGTTTGTTTTTAATTTACTTCATAGCTCTACCAAAAAGTATGGCTGGCCACTTTTGTTTATAGACTGGACCTACAATAAACACCTCAGAGATGTTGGTCGGAGGAGAGACAGAGAGAGAGGGAGGGAGATGCAACAGAACCTGTCCTTAACACAGCTGGTAGGAGATCTCTGTTTCAGGGAACTCCTCTGAGGTAAGGACAGCCACCATAAGGATGAGAACACATTTGTCTTTGCTGCAATGATACAAAGAGGGAGAGGAGCTGGAAACACACAACAGAGACCATCAACTCATTCACATCACAGCACCTGCGAGCAAAGAGCTGCTTCCTGCCCCAGACTGCACCAAATTACCAATGAAAGGAACAAGGTGCTAAAGGTCTCTGCTCTGATGGCAGCAACAAAAGAACGGTTGTTTGTCAGCAAAACCACCTTTTCCTCAGGCACAAGCTGTACTGCAGAGGTAAATGCCAGTCACCCCATTTGAGACACACCCAGCTGTCTCAGAACATCTGTTTCAGAAGGCACAAACACCACACAGTGAACTCAAAATACTGATCAATATTAGTCACTGTGGGTTCAAGCTCAGCGACTCCACATACTCCTGCCTGCAGGTTTGCAGGAAGCTGCTGGAGTTTTCCAAGGTAACCTCCACTTTGCAGTTAATCTACCTCTATGCAGACAATCTCATGATTCAACTTACCACCGTGCTCCTCCGGTGGCTCTGCACAGTGAAATCGGGACAGAAGAGCAGATCTGCAACAGCAAGGAGCAACGACTCGGCCAGTGGCCGGGCATTTTCATCGTCTTCATCTCCCTAGAAGCAAGAAATGTGGAAAAGTATTTTCAGCCTACGGTTAGCCAAGAACACACAGTAACAGCGGTATAACTTCCTGTGTGTTTTTGGGGAGTGTAAGAAGTTACAAAGGAACAAGAAGGAGAAACACCCAAAACCCAGTCAGCACAGGAAAGAAATTCCTCCCCTGAAGGTGATGGTTAAATGGGAACAAGCTCTTTAATGACACCAAACTGAGCAGATAAAGGCCTACAGATGTTGGGGAAACAGAAGAGTAGCACTGAACTTTGCCTTTTGGAGATGCTTGACTTACTGAAAACAAAAGGAAAGAATCATTTACAGAGAAGAGGGTTTTACAGCCACAAAGAAGGGTAATCTGGCTGGTGCACAGAGACAGCAATGGGAAGAAGCCAGCCCTCAGCAATAAGGTGTAAAACCTCTCAAAGTCCTGCATGGGCTGCCCAGAACTGGGAGAGGCTGCATGCACCATGCTAGGGGCTGCCTCAGCCTGCCATGGCAGAGCAAGCATTACAACAGAGGGGATTTTGCTGTCTCCAGTGTTCAAAGCAATCACTCGAATCATGCATGGCTACTCCTCTGCAGCCGTTGCCACGGGAAACCTTGCCAGATCCTGCCTGTCAAAGAGCAACCTGGATGGGAGGCCTTCCCCACCACACACTGGTGCTGGAGGGAAAGGCAGAGAGCAAGAATGGCAGAAGCTTATCTATTGCAGCCAGGCCTCTGTCAGTCTGCGCACGACACACGTCTCTTAAATCACAGCAGGCAGCTCATGGAGATAATTGCCTGCATGACTCTGACGTCTGTCTCAGCGACAGCAGAACACTGCTGTCAAACAGATCCCAGATGTACAGAGAGGATGGATGGAGCCAGCACAGCAAAGATGCTTTGACTTGGGCTCATAGTCAGAGATTAAATGACAAGCATTAGGTCCAAGGGGTTTTCTTTTCCAATAATGATCTTTGCTAACATCACCTTGGCTGCCAGAAAAAAGTCCCTGTAGGCTCTGGGTACCACCACATCCAAAACAGGTGACTCACAACAAACCAACAGATCTGTACACAATACAGACCCCCTTACAGGAAGGGGGCACCCACACTTCAGGAGCTCTGTCATCCATCACTGCACCATGAAGCAGCTGAAGAATAATCACAGAGATATTCACCAATGGTCCAGGTGTACCACCATCTCCCCCTTCAGTTCCCAGAGAGAAATCAGCCTTCAGACAGCAAAGCTGTTGCCCCCAGATTAGATGTGAGCCCAGCTTCCCTAACATCTCAGGGCTTTATTTGTCATCCCCTGTCAGGCAGCTCAGCCTTACAGCTGCTTCTGCACATGGTTCAGTGGGGGAGCACACTGAACCCCAACAGCTCCACTGACGTTCAGGAGGCACAACGCAGCAGAAGGGCTCCCCAGCCTAGCACGCATGCACTGGGCTGCATTGCCTTGGGGTGACTACATTACTAAGGCTGAGAAATTCTCTCCTCCAGGTGCTGAACGAGGTGGAAGAACAGTAGTAACAGCAGCCTGGCTGGATCAGAGCACCAGGCACCCAGCTTGTTCTTTCCTGAAACAAACTCCTCCATTGTTAAGTCTCTCCAGAACTTCCTGACCCCTGCAGGGATGAAACGATGGACAACCACTACCCTTCCAAGCACACAGATCACATAACAGAGTAGGACTGGCAAAGACTTCCCTCTCCACCACCCCGAACTTCCCCTTGAAGTGGCCTCAGGCAAAACAGATTAGAGGTGACAGGCAGAGACAGCACAAGGTGCAAGGTTTGTACTGTACCAACCACTGCCATTCCTTTAACACTTTCCTCAAAACACTGCAGTACACTCAACATTCAGGGGAAACCACAATGTTCAGCACAGCCACGCTGACCTGCAGATTCAGAAACTCACAGGAGATTGCTCTCTATGCACAGAGCAGGCAGTTGTTGAGGAAGCGAGCAGGCAAATTCCTGGCCTAACTCAACTGTGTTTTCAACATTATTTCTCCTCTTTGCAGGAAATCCTAAAGCACTTTCACCTCGTTCCTCTGAGAGACACAGAAAAGCACTATTGCGCCTGCTCTCCAAACAGAGAAATGTAGGGAGGTTCAAAGACTCCCCTGAGGTTATACACACCTCTGATAGAGCCAGAAACAGTACCTAATTCTTTAACCACTCTTGCTCAGCTGTGGGCTTCACCTATCAAGCTAGGCCCCTGATTAAAACTGTACCACTCAGCTCATAAGCAGGTTATTGAGTGATTTCACTGAGAGCTTATCTGGCACGATTTGCTTTAAATGTGACACTAAAATCAGTGAAAATTACACTCTATTTCAGTTTGACTTGAATCTTAAATCAACTTCAGTTAATGGAATAAGGTAATTTCAGTTTAAGGAAGTCATACAATCTTTAGCACTGCTTGCACGTTCATTTCAATTCACACTTTCAGTTATCCTGGAGAAGCCTTCCCTTGCATACCAGCTCTCTCCTACAGCTACACATACCCAAGTGAAATATTCAGATGATGCAGCAACCTGCACTAAACAAAGCAGCTGAGGGTGAGAGAAAAAGCAGCGAGAATCAAAGGAAGGAAAAGAACTTACAAGGTGCCACCTAATTTCTGACCAAATAGAAATAACTGGAATAAAGTTGCCCCCAGAAGTATATAGTGTCTCCTCGCTGCAGCCTCCCCTTCACCCTTCAGAAAGAATAAGTGTCAAGAGACAGACCCCTCCTCGGCCAGCTCCAGGGACAGTTGACCAGAAGAAACCTCTCCAGTCTGGGTCCTCGAAGATGTAAGGCAGAATACGGGTGAGGAGCCGGCAGCAGTTCAAGACGATTTGCCTCTCCTTCTCCGTGTGGCAGCCGCTCTCTGCTCCCTGCACCAACTTCTCCACAGCCTGAAGGAAACAAAACCAAGGGAGGCAGCATTAGCCTGGATGCAAGTTAGCAAGAGCTGGGCACATCTGTCCTGCTGGTGACACTCTCACACAGAGTTACAAGCGGTTCTTGTGGCACATTTTCTATGAGTTCAATGGTACAGGAGCTGCTGCTGTTTGAAACACTGCAGAAATAGGGTTAATGATCTTAAACAGACCTTCCTGAATTTCTACTGCCCCACTACAAGAGACCTCGCAGGCCAGGGCTAATCCATGCAGCACACGTGTTGTGCCATGTGAGACAGACAGCCACAGCACCAGAAGGCACTTTCCAGCACTGCTCCGTGACGCTGCACACTGCAAAGAGCAGATCAGATTAATCAGCCGCATCAAGTAGAGGAGACGCAGGCAGAACCAAGGCAGCAGCACCGTGCTGCGTGGCGTGAGGCGCTGGCAGGGGAAGATCGCACACAAACACACGAAGTCTGACAGATCTGTATGTGCTGCTGTGATTACAGAAGGGACCTCTCCTGACGCAGGAGGTGGGGGCTAAGCTGCTGCCTGTGACATATTAAACATGCGGATACAGCCTCCAGCGGAGTCTGTCAAGGTTCTGCTGCAGAGGGGGGTGGCAGTCCAGGTTTCCCCCCCAAACTCTTTCCTTACTGCCCTGGAAAGAGCTTCTGGGCTGAGTCTCTGCAGTCCATCCAGCCACTGCTGAAACTGCCAATACAGACAGCCACTGGGGTTTTCAGAGTAGGATGTGGGTCTTGCCAGGCAGCAACCACAGGTTTTACCCACAGACAGAAAAAAGGCAGCTCCTTCCCACAGCAGCTGCACCCACTTGCTCTTTCTCCCTGATCCCAAGGGGAAACAGAAGGGGAATGAAAGCCAAAACATTTACCAAGGATTCACCTTGCTGCTTTTAAATTCACGAGGTCATGTGTCCCTGCTTATTTTCATACCAGGCTGTCTGGGTCACTGGCTCTGCTAGCTTGCGTCATTGCCTTAATGAGTATTTAAATGGTGTTTGTGTAGCCTCAGCCTGTCCACACACTACTCTATGACTGAGCTTAACTATTTTTGCAGGCACATTTATGACTCTGTACAGTTGGAACCCTCAGCCATGATTGGAAATGCCATTTCAGCCATGCTGTTGTGCTCTCCATGACAGCATGTGGCACACTGAACCTGGCACAGGTCAAGACCCTCAGCCTGGTAAAGTCACTGCAGGCTTCTCTGACCCTGATATCCCAAAATCTAGGGCTCCTGGATAAACAGCCTTGCAGCCACCAGGTCTCCCAACACATCTGTTTCCAGTGGGGAGCACAGTCCATATTTTAGTCGTGGTTTTGGGGGAAAGAGACTAAGGGGTTATGTGGTCATAAAGAAGGTCATCCCAGCCCTTCTCAATTCCCAAGCCGCCAATTGCCAGAAGCCAGGAGATAGCTAGCAAAGAACCACTCCCTTGTTCCTTATTTTTGTATTCTTCAGGTATCCACTACACGTATCTGTCTGAGGCACGATTCCCAGCCAGAGGGACCTTCAGTATAATTCAGTAGGTCTCATTCACATTTTGTAGAGCAGGAAAGAAAAACAGGACAGCAACAACCATTTTAAAATGGGAAAGTGCCATTCCAAATGTTTCCAATACTACACATTCAAGGCTACTCTTTGCATGGCTCAAATCAGGAGTGTTATCAACACCTGCACTTTCCCAGGCAGAATAGCTCTGACTGCTCCTTTTGTAACATCAGCTGTTGCTCACCAGATTGACATTTTGCCAAACCTAGTAGGGTAGGAAACGTGAGTCAATGTCCCTTGTGCTGCACATAAAGACATGGCAGCACCAGAAGCAGCATCAGGGATGTTCTGACGTCTTCTGAAGTCTTCAGATCTCACTCAAACTTCATTCAGGCACTTTTACAGTGACAAACTCCACATCCCTCTGGGATCTATGAGCTTGAAGCCAGACTGACTCATGGTGAGGAGCAATCAGATGCAGACAGGGAACTGGATGTCTCAGCTTTACCGCAAATATGCGTCCTTAGTATAAAGTCACCTAAGCAAGAAGTAGTTTACATAGCAACCAAGACCCAAGAGGGCAGTGTGAAACACAGGAAGGAAAGAGGACGAAAAAAGGTTCCAAAGTGAGCAAATGACAGCTGTGGTCTGTGCTAAATCAAGAGAGGAAAGGCAATCAGGAGGTGGTACAAGAAAATAAGAAGGCACCTGTCTCCCGTTGGGAGCCATAGGACTATTGATCAAGGGACACCCCCCTACTAGCACAGCACCAAGGAAGACAACAGCCCAAACCTTACCTTATAACACAAAGTCGCCAAGTTTGAAGGGGATTCTTCTCTTACTGCTCGGATCTCTGCAGCTGGTACAAGGGCAAAGACATCCTGCACTGAAGTGGCTGTGTCTGCCCAGAACTGGTCCCAGAAAGCATCATCTGTTGCCTCCACAGGCTGTGGAGAGACAAACGAGGTTACAGATGCAGAACTACCATTCTGTGAGGTCCAAACATCAGCAATTATGCCTGGCTTGGAGGTGGGACCAGGCACAGAAGAGGTTCAATAAAACATACTGGCACTGTTTTTCTACCTCAGCCTCTGCTATCAGCACTTTGGCCATTTTGATCTCCCAAACAGACCATTCCCTCAGCAAGCGGGTGAGCAGCAAGACATTTATGTGACCAGTTGCATCAGACTGGCATCCTCCAAGTCTTTCATGGAGGCCTCCTGCTTGTCTGCAACCTAGGGCACGTATTGCAAGGTCTTTACCAGCATGCGTGGGTCAGACTGCTGCCACGTGCTATCACCTTCAGAGCAAGCCAAGGAGTGTGCACTGGAATTATTTCTATTGTAACCAAAGCCTTGAGGAAGCAATCAGGGGCATCTCACATTAGGGCACGAGCAGACCCACAGAACTGACAGATCCACCCCAAAGCACTTAGGGATGCAACAGCATTGATCTTTCTGAATCAAATATTTATGGGGAACTGGATTCAGTGCAGCTGGTTGCTGCCAAGAGTTTGTTCTTAAAAAGCACTAAGTGTGCAAGTCAAAGACGAAGATGGAAGGAGGAGGCTGAGATACCAAAAAGCAGTTCATTTCAGACCTGTGGTCTGAGAAGCCCACCCTCCATGACCTTTTCTGGCTCTGCAGGTGCAGACACCCTCCTCTTTCACCAGCACTGTTGTCCCCTTTTCACAGTGAGAGAACAAGGATTATCCCCAAGCCCACCCCAAAACCCCAGTGCTAGGGATGCTGGCCACAAGGACAGTCTTGTTTGCCAGACTGCAGCTGGAAAGACAGCTCTGTACAGCTGGCTGCAGAGTCCCAGTGTTATTTCCCCCAGCTTCTTCCTGACAGCATGGCATTAACCTAGAAATCAAAACAACAATGACGACAACCTGGCTGTCAGGTTATGTGCAGCAGAACAAAGAGGGCTGGACCTTGCTTTGCTGCTTATGGCTTTGTAGAGACACTGCAGTGCTGGCCATTCAAGGTGAGGCAGAGGCTCAGACACCCAGGGCCAGGCTCAGACACACATTCCAGCCCTGCGATGACCTGCCACTCCCCAAAACGTGAGAACGCCAGCACTGTTTGCTGAACAAGAAGGAATCTCCATTACACAACATCTCGAGCATCTAAAGCCTGGGAACTCTGAACAATCAGGAAAGACTCAACTTTTCAGCCAGCCTAAAGCTAAGCACAGCTTTTCCCATCTAAATGCTGATACCCAGCCATGCTGAGGTATGGTGGCATGCTCAGAAGAGGCATCCACCTGGGCATCCCCAGCCCTCGGCTTGGGGCGATGGGGACCCTCCAGCCTGTAATGCGCAGCGGCTCTAAGGCAAGCAGCAGCTCTCACTCACTGTGATCATCAGCACCGTGGGCGGGTCTACCATGTCAGATGGGAAAGGGGCTAAAAGATGAATGTGTGTTTAACTTAAACAATTCCTGCCCACTCCCAGCTCTGCTGTAGTAGGCAGAAAACTTGCCCAGCTCTACGCTGTTTCTAAATCTAGCCAAGGCGTCACTCCGGGGAGACCAGCTCATTCACAGCTCTGATACCGAGAAGTGCTGCCTTTCCCCCTTTGCCATTGCCTCCTGAATTAACAGCCCCAGCTTGCAAGCAGGTGATGTGTCACTACCACCCAAAGGTCAGAAAGTGAGAGGGGCAGGCAGGCAGCCCCCAAACTGGTATAGCAGGTTACTGCCCTCCAGCTCCCTTCCTTAACGCTCCAGAGAGGCTGCCTATTGCTTGTCCTGGTCCTTCCAGCCATGCAATGAACCAACACAAGACCCAGTCTTTAAAAACAAAACTAGAAAAACACACATAGGCATCTTCTTAAACTCTGCTTCAGTGCTGAAACACTCTTCATTCTACCACCAGGCCACCAAAGCAAGTTCTTAGTTCCCTTTCCAAGGGAAGAGCAACTTTTTCCAAGTGGCTCAAGACCCCAGTTCCTCAGAGGGGATCTGTAGGAACAGCCCAGTGTTTGCAGCCCGACTTTCAGCTTCCTGAGTGTGCTGTGCTGTGTCCTCCCTGTGCTGTGCTCTTTGTAACCCAGGCACAAAATGCTTAAATGGAAGCAAAGCTATTTTGCAAATCTTATCTCTAATTAGTCTCCTCAAAAAAAGCCAAGCATTTGGAAATCCAATCTATGTAATGCATGAAACATCCTACACTTCCTATAACCCCTTTCAAACCACGTACCACAACCGCATGTAAAATTGCCACATGTACCTCCTGGCTGCCTGCCACAGCCACTCCCACCAACAACAGTGAGCAGCAATTGCTGCTAATTGGAGATCATGCATAAATAATGGGCTTCACTCTCATCTAGAAGGGAAGGAGAAAACCATTTCCCTCCAGTAGACACAGATCCTTTTGCCTCCCACTAGCCTGAGGCCCCCTCAGAGGTTAAACACAGCCGCTATTTTACAGATGGTAACATGACAGCTAAGCGGGATTGAAGAACATGGTCTCTGACTAAAATTACATGGAGGTTGAGAAGCACAGCGGCAGTTACCCAAGCTGCAATGTTGGATGCTGCAGCCACATTAATGTCACGGCTGCCATCTTGGCAAGCAGATTATGCAGAACCACCATTTCTTTCATTTTTAATAGCTGCAGCAAGTCAGCTCCTCATCCAACAGATGGTATCCCATGTACAATCCTGGGACATGGATTCAGTACTGAGTCACTCACATCCCCACAGCCCCCCTGTTTTAATTAACAGTCTGGCATAATGAAACTACTCCATCTACGTAGTATTCGTCTCCTTGATAGAACGCTACTGGGTGTTTTTAAGCTGATTGTATTCTGCACACAGCGTCTCAAGGGATATGAATATCCATTTCCTCATCCTGAGCTCATCCAACAGCCTGTATCCAGCTTACAGAGAAAGGAAATAGGGAGACCTAAAACAGTCTTGTTCACCAGCCATGGATATCTTCATTTGGAAATGTCAAGATTTAGTTATAAGTGTTGGTAGTGCACATGCTGCAGTAACAAATCCCACAGTACTGTGGCCAGCCTTGACAGTGCTTTAACCAGAGGAGCTCAGGAGGAGCTGAATCCTCACCATCAATGCTGTGAGCTGAGGCAAGGTGTAAGCTTCCCATTATAAAATGTTGGTTTTCAGGTTCTTTAAAGCACATCATAGGAGTCACAAAAGGAAGATACTCAGTTGGCAAGCACCTTGCCAGTTACTGAATCACAGCCCTGAGCAGGCGATCCCCAGGCAAACAGGATACATCTCGGGAAACAGGAAAACAGAGTGGAGCTGACCACATCCGAAAAACAGGAAAAGGTCCCAAGGCACAGCCTCCCCCATTCATTACTGTCCTCAGCCTAACACTAGTGCCACCTTCGCTTTCTCTTTCAGATACAACCCCTCAAAGCTCAGGCAGGGTGAGCGTTTGCACCCTCCTTTCAACCAGGAGCTCTCTGCACCCACAGCTTTACATCAAATGCCTGTTCTCAACAACTTTGACCTCAAAACAACTCTGAAGTTGCTGCAAATTGTCAGCAGAGAATCAATGGGGTAAGCAGCCACCAGTCTTGCTCACTGTATTCTCCTTTTGCTTCTTGCCAACATGCCAATCAAGCATCCCATCAGCTGAGGTAGCAAGGCACTTGGGGCAGAGACTCGATAGCAGAGCAGGGCCCTGACCAGGGTTGCTAGCCAGCACTATGCAAAATCTAATAATAAATAACAGCAGCATACTCCTTTCCAGCCCAAATGAGGCAGAACCGTGTAGTGTTATGACCACATGCTCCATGCAGCCCTTGATTGAGCTCTCAGTGATCAGGCAACCCCGCAGGGCCAGGGGATCAGTTTGGGGCAGTTCACACACCTTTGTACCACCTGCTTGTGAGCCATTGAGCAAATGGAGCCTGAGGACAGATTTATTCAAAATGTTAATAACTAGCAAGATTTCATCCCTGCTGCCAAGGACGGCAGCTCAACACAGATTTCAGAGCAGAAGTACATTTTTCTATAGGATCTTTGCAGGCAGCAGTGTAGAATCAAGGAGCGGGTCCACGCGAATCCATTGCCAGTTTGTGTTCCCACAGCAGAGACCGTGTTGAAAAGGAAATTGGAAAGTGGGATTTGTGGAAGTATGGCAGGGAAAGCCTAGGACAAAAGCCAGCTGGGTAAAGCGTTAGTTACAGCTTTGCTTTGAAGACAACTTTGCTTTTGATCAACCTGAGAGACATGGATACTTGAATCAAGATCAGATACTATCAGAAATAGGCTACCAGAAGCCAACGCCCCTCTAAGCACAAGATGTACTTTTATCAGGCTCAGATTAAGAGTCTGTTGTACGACTGCATTTCCATACCAGGGAAAAAGAAAGGACAGGAGTTTGCCCCTAGTGTTTGATCCTTCCTGTTTCTTTCAAAGCAGAGGCATAGCTAGCATTCAAATCCAACAAGCTAGCTCACAACATCAAAATTTCTTATCTTTCAATCAGCTGCTTGCAGAAACTGCTTAATTGCCAACTGGCTGAGAAAAGAAAATGTGTTTCCCCAGCAGTTAAGACTCCCAGCTTCAGTTCCCTGCTCTGCTGCTGATCAGTTTGCACATTCACAACCTGCGTTTCCCTTCAGCTGTTAACCAGACAGCATGGTTATGGGCAGCCTGGGAGGGTTCACACATTCTCTACGATAAAGCACGCCTGGTTTATTATTAAAAGGGTGGGCCCTATCAATTTAAATGTGTGCAGTGTAATGTAATATATATGTATCATATTAAAATACTAAAACCCATTTCTCCATATGTAATTATAAATATACATCAGTAGCATAAGCTAATTCCTACCTTCTGGTACTACTGCCCTTTTTTAATCACTGAAATAATTCTGAAGTTATTTTTCTTTTTAAATACTCTTACACCTTCAGAGTTTCTCTTTAGTGATAAAAAAAACCCAAATCAATTAAGTCAACTTCATTTGTGTACAGACTTGGTTCAACACTCCAGTTCTGGGCTCCATGTGAGCTACAAGCATTCAAGTGTTATGTTCCTTACAGATTTGATTTTTTTTAAGTGTTCACATGGAAATGATCATGTTTTTAATTAACAAAAGCCTGGATATTATAGGAACTTATTTTTAAGTAAAATTTTACTTCAGTGACAACTCTGAACCTTCGCTGGTCAGTGAACAGTGCTTCCTGCTCAACCACTTCCTTCCATCAGAGCCTTAGGAAACACCACAGAGTGCATTACTAAGGTCAGGTTTCAGGTTACCAACAATTTGATGAAAATCTATTTGTCCAGCTACCTAATGACAGAGGAGAAGGCTGCAAAAAAAGGAGACACGCTGCTGAGAAAGAGAAGAGTATTTTGAGTGAGTAGCTCTGAAGGATTTGACTCTGACCATTACTGCAGCCTGGTTTTGAATCCAAGGTCTCACATATCAGGAGGTTACATGGAGGGTGCTGCTGGTACGAGCTCAGAAGGCTCCAGGAGAGTCCAGTCACGCATCCTGCACAAGCAAACACCAGTGCCCTTCTACAGTAAGTAAATATGGGAGCGCCAACACCCCACCCTTTTTCCACATGGCAGTTAGTCTCACCTAGACCACAAAGACGTAAAACAAATCCAGCCAAGAATGAAGCTTTTTCTTCTTCCTTTATTTGGGGCCCCAGTGAACCTTCTTTCATTGCACACACCGATAAACTGGGGGAGAGGAGCACTCTCTTCTTGGCTGGAGATCTGAAGGATTGCCTCATACAGGATTTTCTTTGTGAACAGCAGACCAAGAAGATCCCTAAAGGCCTGGTTTCCCCCCACAGACTCACTTTATAGGCATGTTTCCCAGGGCAGGAAGGCCAGTCCAAAGCTGAATGCACTCTTAACTATTTGGCATCCTGAAGAGACTTTGAAAGAATCCCTTAAAACATTAATTCATCCACTTCTCTCTTTGCCTAATGATGTTGTGGAGCATCCACAATTGAAGGGTTTTAAGAACTTGTTCACGGAAGCCGTTCCTGAGTGATGCATATAGAAGAGATACTGCTTTGGAAAGTATAAAGACAATTTCTCAAATACTTTTCCAGCCTTACTTTCTATGATTCATTTCCCGGTCCTAGTCTTCATCTCTTGAGTTTTCACAGATTTTCTCCTATTACCCTTTATCCCTTTACATACATACCCTTTTTTTCTTAATTTATTCCCCACTGTTAACTATCCTTCTGCCATCATCCCCAAGTTTTCTTAGCAGCTGTTATTCCCTTACCACCAAAGGCGGATCCTAACACCAATTCTCCATTGTAGCTCAGAACTCGAGATGTGACTTCTCATCAGAGCAAAATCCCTCTGCTCCTTAGACAGAAGGTCAGTCGAAATTTTCTGTCCATGTGCTGCTGCTGCCGGGCTTCCTACTTAAGACAAGAACTAAACTAGCTCCCAGCACATAAGCAACATATGTTAGACCTCTAGGCAACCACTTCCCCTATACACAGTCCTGCCTTCTCTCACTTCATTCCCTCTCCAATTCAGCCTGCAGAAATAAAGCATTATTTCACAGGTCACAAATAGAAGCTGCTTCTGCTGCAACAGCATGGCTGGTCCTTTCAATCTGCTATTACCCAAAAACAGGGCAACGTTCCCCACCAATTATTTTGGGGAATATATAGAGAAGGGGCACTGCCAAGCCTTGCAGTGACGTAAACCTGCAGCTGAATACATTAGGAGCTGTGGCCATCCCTTATGGCAGCAGCATCTCTGTCTGGTAACACAGGATGCTTAGCTTAGCAAAGCACAAGATGTCAGAGGACGCGAGTGCCGTGATACAGCGTGATCTGGCACTGCCCTGCCAGACCTGACAGCTGCCCTGGGGAATTGGCCGGTGTCCTGAGGCCAAGCACTGCCTCATCACCTTGGTTCTGCTCCCCCTTCACAATCACATTAGGTCTCTGGAGACCAGCGACATGGCAGATGGGACCAGTTTTCCCAGCCTTAGGGCAAGGCCTCACGGCGAGATCTTGGAGCGGAGCCAGCCATGACCGAAGCCCCCAGAGGTGTTGTCACCTCCACCCCGAACCCGGCAGGTCCCTGGCAGTGTGCAGCCCTGTCCCTGCACACGAGGCACCAGGGTCGAGGTGTCTCAGGGCACGACCGGGAGAGAGCAGCCTATCAGCCCACCCTGGGTGCCACCGAGCATCCCCGACCACCTCACAGCCGGGGGAGGCCGCGCCTCAGGGCAGGGCGGCTCCCGACATGGCGGTCCCCCCTCACCTCACCCACCTCCCGACATGGCGGCCCTTACCTGGGTCTTGGTGGTGAGCTGGATCACCGCCTTCCTGAAGTTGAGCTTGGAGTC